TTTTTCTGTTACACAAAATAATGGGTTTCATTATAACAATTTCATAGATGTATATAACGTGCTTTGGTCTTATTTACTGTCTATTATCCCCTTCTCTTCCTCCTCCTCCTCCTGCATTTCTTTCCCTCTTTCTAAATACTATTCCTTCTACTTTCATGTCTTTCTTTTCTAGATCTAGACTCTGCATATAAGAGGGAACATATGATATCTGTCTGAGTCTGGCTTATTTCTTTTAACATGATCTCCAGTTCCATCCATTTCCCTGCAAATGACATCATTTCCTTCTTCTTTACAGCTGTATATTTGCCACATTTTCCTTATCCCTTGATCTGTTGATGAGCACGTAGGTTGTTTCCATATCATTTCCACTGTTCACTATTGTGAATACTACTGCAGTAAACATAGGTGTGCAGGTATCTACTGCACATGCCCAGGAGTGACATAACTGGATCACATGGTAGTTCTGTTTTTACTTCCCACAATTCTAAAATTTGCTTGAAAGGTTTTTTATTTTTATTTTTTTTCTTCTTTGAGACAGCATCTTTCTGTATTGCTCAGGCTGGCCTAGAACTCACTATCCTCCTACCTCAACCTCCTGAGAGTTGGGATTACAGGTGTGTACCACTGCATATGACTGAAAGCTCAAAGTTTAATGTTGGCAATAAATTGTTTTATTTGAAATAACAGGATTACTTTATTTATTTTCAAGAACATGTCTGTCAGATACTCAAGTTCCAATAAGCTTCATTGTCTTTCATGTTCTTAAATAAAAATTGCATGAGAAAAGGGGCTGGTTCAGCTCCTAACAATGCTGCAAGTTCTTTTTCTCAGGAAAACCATTGTACTTTGGCACAATGTACAATTTATGTGGGTTATCACCATATAAATATAAACAATATAAAAGTGTGATAAGAATATAAAAAGGTGTGTACTAATGGGTTGATATTTAATACAATTGGTAATTTTTATGCCTTTATCAGAGTATCCTTAAGGAAAACTGGCTTCACTTTCACGTGCAAGCCTGTGGAAGTAAAGAATACAGCAATAAGTTAGGCATGGTTGTTCCACGCCTATCTTGCTAGCACTGGGGAGGCCAAGGCAGGAGGATTGGGAGGTCCAGCCTAGCCTGAGCTACATAGCAAAATCTTTAAAAAAAAAAAACAAAAAAAACTAGTTATATTTATTTATTTAGCTGGAGTTTGAACTCAGGGAATATACCTTTGAATGCCACAGACAATCCATATATAATTAACTCCCTCAACAGTTTTGTTTTTGCTATGTTTCCTTTTCCCTCGCCTAGAGTGTAGGATATTCTGAAAGGGAAGGCCTTTGTTGGAGGACTCAACAGATTTCCATTCTTAGCTGTCTCTGACTGACAGAGGTATTTCATGGGATACTTGCATTTGCTTCTCTCTTAATGGCAACCTGATTTTCACACTAGTTGTGGTGTCAACAGTGTATTCATGTATTTTACTTTCTCCTAAAAAAGGTGTTCTAACATCCAAATGATAACATTTATGAAGTTCTTACTGTATGTTAGAGAATGTTCCAAGCATTTTGCATGTCACTTAATCTACAGAGCAGCTCTATAACAGGTAGATTCTTTTGTTTTCCCCATCTTATACCTTAGTAAAATGAGGCACAGAAAGCTCACTTGCCAATACTGCACAGAATAGTAAGATCAGGATTTGAACTCACAATAATTTGGTTCCAGAGACTGTGCTCTTACAAGCTTTCTTATATAAATACTTTTGTGACAGACACATAGGTTCATTATGGCACTATTTATAATTGCAAAATCAAAAATAACTTAAGGGAATATCTAAATAAATAATGGTAGATCTGTACAATGCACTAAAAAATCACATTTTTGAAGACTATGCCATGATATGGAAAAATATAGCATATTGAAAAACAAGATATAATGTGTATATACATTGTGCAAATATCTATTTTAAAGACTAGAAAGAAGTATAGTAGTGATTTTAGTGATTTTTTTTTCCTTTTTTTTTTTTTGTGGGACTCGGATTTGAACTTGGCTTCATGCTTGCAAAACAGACACTCTGCCACTTGTACCATTTGAGCTATGCCTGCACTGGAGATGGGATCTCTCTAACTATTTGCCCAAGCTGGTCTCAGACCATGATCCTCTGAATCTCAGCCTCCCAAGTAACTAGGGTTACAAGCATGAGCCATTGGTGCCTGGCTGGTAATGTTTCTTCTTCTTCTCTTTTTTTTGGTGATACTGGGGGGGTTTGAACTCAGGGCCTCACTTGCTAGGCAGGCGTTCTTACTGCTTGAACCACTCCACCAGCCCTTTTTTTATGGTGGGTTTTTTCAAGATAGGGTCTCGTGAACTATTTGCCAACATTGCCTTTGAACCTCGATCCTTCTGTTCTCTGCCTTCTGAGAGGCTAGGTTTCCAGGAATGAGCCACTGGTGCCAGGTGACATTGTTTTTTTTTTTTAACATTTTTAAAAAAATAGCATTTGTGGGATACTTCCCATACGCTAGGTACTATATTCTTTACGTGTGTTTTCTCAGTTAACTCTCTCATGGATCCCATGATATAGACAATACTCTTTTTTCAAATGAAGAAACCCAAGACTTAGAAAGATTAAGTAATAAGCCTAGGATCAAACAACCAGTAAGTAGGAGAGTTGGACACTTTGTATTAGATTCTTTCTGTTTTATATTTTCTAAAGTTTTTATAATATTTATGGTTTACACATCAAAAACAAAGTTAATTTAAAAAATTATATAAACATACTGGACTAACAATAAGGCAGGGTTGTACAATTTGATAGAATTTATATTGATACTTAAATACTAGGTATGCAAAATAATAGAATTATAGGAATTGAAAGAAATTGGACCAAGAACTTAAAAATATACTATCTACTATCCAAAACTGATTTAAAAAAAAAAAAAGGTAGGTTGTGACTAGTATCCTTTAGTGAAGTGCAATCTTCAGCTTTATCAGCATAGATAAAGCTGAGTAGTTTTATAACTATGCTCAAGAACCCCTGAACCATTTTTGTTGTGATTGTTAGCAATTCCTTTTGTCTCCTTAAACCCCAGTGAGGTAATGGGCCAAATACTCAAAGAAAAAGAGTTTTTGTTTGGGAATATGTAGAGTATTCCCATTGGCATAAGAGGATTTTCTGATGTAAGTGTGTATTTGTAGTTTACAAATGCATTTAGTAAAAGTCAGAGATTATTCAGAGCATCTGTAATCTTGAAGGATATCACCAGTTACAGAAAGCAGCTATCTGTTGTATTTTCCTATAATTGGCCCACTGTCAAAGAGTGAGTAGTAGGCCTGGGGGCTTGGCTCAAGTGGTAGAGTGCTTGCCTAAAGACCCTAACTTTAATCCCCAGTATCATAAATAAATTCAATTTTATTTTTGTTAATTCTTTATTTGCTTGTTTATGGTACTAGGGTTTGGACTCAGGACCTTATACTTGGTAGGCAGGCATTCTACAACTTGAGCCATGCCCCCCAAAAGAAGCTGGGCGCCAGTGGTTCATGCCTGTAATCCTAACTAGTCAGGAGGCAGAGATCAGGAGGATCACAGTTCGAAGCCAGCCCAGGCAAATAGTCCACAAGACCCTATCTTGAAAAAACCCTTCACAAAAAGTGATTGGTGGAGTGGCTCAAGTGTAGGACCTGAGGTCAAACCCTAGTACCTCAAAAAAAAAAAAAAAAAAGGAAAAGAGTGAATAGTAAATTAGTTGATCCTTGATGGACTCTGCAATGTATTTCACATATTCTCATGATAAGATTCTGACTTCTCACACATTTTGGAACTTGAGGAATATGTGTAATAGCAGGAAAGAACTATTAGAGGGCGGGCGGGGGGAGCAGGGGCATGGCTAAAGTGGTAGAGCACCTGGCCCTGAGTGCAAAGCTCAGTCCCTCCAAAAACTCAAGTGACGCCAAAGAACTACTAGAAAATTCTTCCTTTGCAGGAAGTTAATTAGGATATATGGAGATTAAAAGGAAAATGCTCACCTACTCATATCTCCTAGAATAGATCTTTGTCAGTAGTGATCAAACTTAATTAGGTCAGTAAACTAATGACTAAGTACTCAAACACATCCTGATATCTGTGAACTAGAGAGCAGGAGTGTATGGAGAATTTGGTCAAAAGCAAGATTATGTCAGGGGAAGGGGCCTTAGAAACTTCTGTTAAGAGAATTGCTCCCTGTCAAATATGTAATATTACTTAAAAAATGGAGGGAAATAAAATTGTTTCTCTTGCTAAAGATGTAACGCTTCTGAAGTTACTCCTTTTTTGGGGGAGGGGGAATGGTGGTGGTGATTCTGGGGATTGAACTCAGGACCTCCCATTCTCAAGGTATTCTTATTTTTATCTTTTTAAAAGCCAGTGAAAATAATTTAATCATTTTCATCCATCCTATTCATTAATCTGGGTAATCAATACTCTTATTTGGAAGTAAGAGGAATGCTGTAGAAATTTTGTGTGTGTGTAGTACTGTGGTTTAAACTCAGGACCTATACCTTGAGCTGCTCTACCAGCCCTTTTTTTTGTGATGGGTTTTTTGAGATCAGGTCTCACAAACTATTTGCCCTGGCTGGCTTTGAACCATGATCCTCCTGATCTCTGCCTCCTGAGCAGCTAGGATGCCAGGCGTGAGCCACTGGGGCCCAGCTTGCTATAGAGATTTTAAGTCCCACTGAGCATAGAACTTCTGCCATCATTGGAGGTTGGGTTCTGAAAGGCATTATTTTTCCTGCTCTAGGTAATCTTATTTTAGCAAGTAGGAATGCAAACATTTTTACTTTCAAAAATTGGGTCTTTATGCAATTGCAGACACCACTGTCTTTATGACTTGTCCTATCCCTGCAGTGAATACTGAGTGAGACTTCCTGTAGCATACCTGGCAGACCAATCTTGGCTTTTCCTTTTGCCTTGATGCCTCTCAGTAAGCTTATCTTTCCTCCCTTAGTGTTGTTCTGGTTTCTTATCCTACAGAGAAGTGTGGGAAATGGAACTGGATAGACTCAAGAATCAGGATGGTGAAATAAATCGGAATATTATGGAAGAGACAGAGCGGGCCTGGAAGGCGGAGGTGAGAAGAGCTGGTCTCTGAAAGCCTTGATTTTGGGCTCCCAGATGGTATACACTTTTGGTATAATATTAAAAGAGCCAGTAAGCATTTGTTTTAACTATCTAAGGATATGGAAAATTAATAAGATATGTGTGTGTGTGTGTGTGTGTGGTTTCCTTAGATCTTATCACTAGAAAGCCGGAAAGAGTTGCTGGTATTGAAACTAGAAGAAGCAGAAAAAGAAGCAGAACTGCACCTTACTTACCTCAAGTAAGTACTTTCCCATTCAAAGGTTTATTGGCCCTGTAGTTTTTTGGTTTAGTTTTTTTAGGTTTTTGAATCCCTAGGCCAGCAAACCTGGCTCTTATCCTATCTTCACAGGAATTTTAAGCCCTGACTGCACAGTGTCTATGCAGTGGCAATTGCTCAGTGATTTCTCTTCCCACATTCTATACTTCCTCTCCCTTCTACAGTTTTATAGTTTTGTCCTTTTTATTGTATTTATTTACATTTGAATAAATACAATCTCTTAAACTATAAAAGCATAACAAAGGCCTTGGAGGTTTGGTTCTTAGATGTCCACTTCTCCTCTTCCTCCATGGGATTTGGAGAAGCCCTGGGGCATTTTCAGACTGACAGAACCCTCTTTTGTGGTTGGTCCTCTTTTTCAAATATTGAGTTTAAAAGATGGCCTTTTAGTGAGGAAAATGGCTTAGTCTTCTCCTGCACCTAATCCTTCCTCTTCTCTCAGGGCCCACTGTTTTGCTGTCTCAGAAAATCAGGAATTGGGCTTTCTTTAATTCTGTAAATTCTGTTGGTTTCTTGAAAGGTCAACTCCTCCAACATTAGAAACAGTTCGCTCCAAACAGGAGTGGGAGACGAGACTGAATGGTGTTCGGATGATGAAAAAGAATGTCCGGGTAAGTGCAGTAGTAGGTGGCCCTTCACTCAGCACCTTTGTGCTTGCACCCTTCTGGCAGTAGGTCACTTAGGCCCTGCCCATCACTCCATTTTTCCCCCGAGAGTGGATGGTGGACTTTCTCTAGAGGCTCACTCAGTTCACTCTTTTCCTTTTTTTTTTTTATAGGATCAATTTAATAGTCATATCCAGCTAGTAAGGAATGGAGCCAAGCTGAGCAGCCTTCCTCAAATTCCTACCCCCACTTTGCCTCCACCCCCCTCAGAGGTAAGAGAGCTGTCTTTGGGGAGTCCATCTTCCTGTGTTGGTGGTAGAGTCAGAGTCTTATACTTGTTCTTTTTATGAAGATATTGGGACCATCCCTATTTAGTGCAAGAGTCGCTCCTTGATTTCAGTTCCCTAAACTCTGCTTCTTTATCTCTTGTCCTCTACCTCTTTCCCTCTACAGACAGACTTCATGCTTCAAGTGTTTCATCCCAGTCCCTCCCTGACTCCTCGGATGCCCTTCTCCATTGGGCAGGTCACAATGCCCATGGTTATGCCCAGTGCTGATCCCCGTTCCTTGTCTTTCCCAATCCTGAACCCTGCCCTTTCCCAGTCCAACCAACCTTCCCCACCCCTTCCTGGCTCCCATGGGAGAAATAGCCCTGGCTTAGGTTCCCTTGTCAGCCCCCACAGTCCACACATGCCCCCTGCCACATCCATCCCACCTCCCCCAGGCTTGGGCTGTGTTAAGACTTCTACTGAAACTCCCCGGCCCCAACCAGTAGACAAACTGGAGAAGATCCTGGAGAAGCTGCTGACTCGGTTCCCACAGTGCAATAAGTAAGTGTAGCTAAGAGTTAATTAAAATATTAATTAAAATATCTTTGTTAAAAGGTTCAAAATAGGGAGGTTTCATGGGTATTCCCTGTGGATATAGCATAGAATTTATCTCTCAACATTTTTCTTTCTTAGGGCGCAGATGACCAATATTCTTCAGCAAATCAAGACGGCACGCACCACCATGGCAGGCCTGACCATGGAGGAACTGATCCAGTTGGTAGCTGCACGGCTAGCAGAGCAGGAGCGGGTAGCAGCAAGTACACAGGTAAGAAAAGCAGCCTGGCAAGAACTGAGGCCTACTGAGAGGTGGAGGAATAGTCAGACTTCAAAAAAAGTTGGGCTGGGAAGAAGTGTTACCGTCAGGTATCTAGTCTGCTTTTTTGCTTTGCTGGGCTATGAGATAAACGAAATCTTTTGTGCTACATGTTCTATTACTCAGACTCTTGCCTGACTCTGAAATTGTTTCTGCCAACAGCCACTTGGTCGGATCCAGGCCTTGTACCCTGCTCCACTGGCTCAAATCAATACCCCGATGTTCCTGCCTTCTGCCCAAGTTTCATATCCTGGAAGGTCTTCACACGTAAGACTCTTTTTCTGTGAACACTGGGATGTAGAGCAAGTCAGGGTGAGGAAGGAGTGAGTTTACAAGAAGACTGCAGGAGGAAACCATCACCTCATCAGCTGCGTTGTTTGCAGCCGTATTGGGAATGTGCAAGTACCTTAGGCAGGAGTCTGTATTTGGACCTTTATTTCTGTGGCATAAAATCATTTTACTACACAGAAATAATAGATGGAGTCATGAGCATAAAAGCTAGATGACCCAGAGGTTCCGTCTCTGTTCTGCAGGCTCCGGCCACCTGTAAGCTGTGTCTGATGTGCCAGAAACTTGTCCAGCCCAGTGAACTGCACCCGATGGCATGTACCCATGTATTGCACAAGGAGGTGGGTAATGCATACCTTCCTCACTTTCTACTCTTCCTTTTCTGACAGCTGAGGAGATTTTCTTTGAATAGTTTTCTGGGTTGATTTTCATCAATATCTAATCATAAGGTTTTCAGTAAATTATGGCTTCAACATTAGCAGAATTTAGAACATTGCAGCAAGTATCTTCCAGCTTCTTTTTATGCCATTTCCTTTGGGGGACTGGGTAAACAGGTGATACTTGAGCACTGCTAAGTTACTTTCTTGGAAAATGGGCAATAAGAGGTAGTTCCACATACGTAGCCATTGTGTCGAATATATCATTGTCAGGCATTTTTGCTTAACTGAGAGAAATGGAATGGGGAAGCTGAATATGAGATTAGCAACCCCATTACAGAGCCTGTGAGAGATTATCTTCACTGACTCTCAGGACACTGCTGTTCTCTCACATTACTAAGCACAGATAAGGCTCTTAGCAGTACGGATGATTCCCTCTTAATTGTTTTGTTTGGTTCATTTTTTTCCAGGAGTAGAAGCTGAACTGACATCTAAATTCTAGATAAGGAAAAGCCCTGAATAAGAGTTGAGGGTAGTGGGTATTCTGGAAGCCCATCTCAGACCAAATTGATCTTAAGGAGCAAACCATATTAAGTACTCAACAGAAAGCAGTTTCATGACTCCACTTAGTAGCAGCTGTTCCTGGTCCTTGTAAAAAGGACAGGTTCACCTGCTCTGAAGATTCTTTGGGGTAAGAGCCATTGGAAAAACCCCACTAGTCTCCCATAGTCAGCATTTTTCAAACTTAGATCTTGTGAACCTTAATGGCGCTCTCCCTTCCCTTTATCTTCCCAGATAAACTTGAGGTTATGTCTCTCTTTCTTTCCAGTGTATCAAATTCTGGGCCCAGACCAACACAAATGACACTTGTCCCTTTTGTCCAACTCTTAAATGACCGACCTGACTGGGGAGGAAGAAGAGGAGAAACTGATGTGAACAGGAAGCACGGGTTGAAGATTTCTAAAACTCTATATTTATACAGTGACATGTACTCATGCCATGTACATTTTTATTATATAGGTAATGTGTGTATAGAAAGTCTGTATTCAAATGTTCGTAAATGAAAGTATGTATATAACGCAGAAACTCTGTTCCCCCTTATCTTGCAATTCTTTTAGAGGATGCAGATTGTAGGGAAGATGATGTTTAGTTTGGCCTTGAAATTATGATGTCCCTGCCTAGGAAGCTGCTGTCGCTCTAAGGCCGTCCTGCTTTCGTTTGGCTCAGCCTCTAGTCCATTTTCTTAAGGCTCGTGTATGCAGATTTGAAGCCTGGTGCTCACCTGCTGTCCACCCAGATGCCTTGCTTAATGAGAGCCTCCAGAAGCCTCAGTGTCATTCTAGCTGCTCCACTCCAAATACATAAAATGAGACTGACTGAGGGAAAAAAGATGTAACCCTAATAGTTTGACTTTTCACTGAATGTTTTACTGTGTTAATGTTCATTATTTATACATAGACATCAGGTTTACCAAATATTCTGTTTTACATCAGCATAATTCACAATCCAAGAATAACAACACAACCAGGTTCTGTTTACCCTACAAACTTCTGTCCATCCTACTTCCTGAATAGAAATTAGCACAACCCACAGGTTTTCCTGGGGCCAACCCATTCCTTACTGTCAATTTGGCTTCTGCTTAAACTCTGACAGGTCAATCTGTGAAGTCCTTACCCCTTCCCATTTCCTCTGGTCTTCTAGTCTAGCTAACACCCTTCCCCCCAAAGGTTAAGGCAGTTGGTTCATAACCAAGTTGTTTGTTGACCTTGGGTGAGCTCCTAACAGGCACTGGGGTGAGGAGATGTCTATGTAAAGTTACTTGCAGAATGATCTTGGGATGTTGGGTTTTAATTTTCTAAGCAAGAAAGCTATGGGAGACATGTTTCCTGTTCTGGGAGAAATGGAGACCAAAGTGGTATGATGAAGGGAGATGGGACTTCATGGTTTCTCTGAATCTAGATCATTTTCCACTTGTGCTTATTGAGCACTTCTGGCTTTTAGGTTTTATACTTGGGAAGGTTGTAGCTCTATTCAAGCTTTGAATCTTTTCCTATCCTTTATCTTTACTTCTGCAGGAAATAGCTTCAGCTCCCATCTCTTTTGGAAATAAGTAAAACTAAGGGTTAATAATAATAAATTGGCTCCATGAGGAGGGTATCATATTACCAACAATTGAATTTTTTCCATCCTGAAACAAAAAAAAGCGTAACTGTTCTAGCAATATGAATCAGGCTAGCAAAGACTATTCCTTTGAGAGCCAACTAAATTCTGTCCGTTCTTGTTACCATTTTTCTCCTTCGTCTTTCATCCTTGCCTGTTAACTCATGGACACATTCTTTTTTTTCCTCTTGCCTTACTTCAGTATCAGTTTAAGGAGCTGGATTTCCCAGGATCTCCTTGGCATCTTGTAGGGTGATTGAAATGGCTTCAGTACTCATCTCTTTTTTTTTTTTTTTTTTTTTGAACTCAGGGCTTCTAACTTGCAAAAGCAGGTGCTCTACCACTTGAGCCACACCTCTAGTCTAGTACTCAACTCTTTAGAAGTCAGATGGCCTGCTTTCTTTGGTTAATGAAATAATAAGGTCTCCAGTTTGGTACTGCCATGAACAGTAAATGTATCAAAATGGAAGAGCAATTCCTTTGTTTTTTTTCATCTGGGGAATTAATTTTTAATCTAGTAATCTTAGATTTTTTTTCCTCCCTTCAATTTTGCAGTAGTCTTGGACTACCTTTATAGAATCTTTCAGTGTCCTCTCAAAGTTCAGAAATTGGAAGTGGGTGTAAAGAATATTGTTTCTTTTCCAAAAAAATCTTTGAATCCAAAGGAGTAGAGAGAGAGAAAAAGGAGGGATGAGTAGGGAGTACAGCCGCTTCCCAGAGAAAGCCCCTGGCAAGCCAACTCCAAGCCGGAGGGTAAGTGTCCTGAAGAGTTGTACGTGGGAGCTGGGCCTTATCATTATTATGCTTTTCTCTTCTGTGTTCAGGATCAATAAAAAGCCCCACTTAAGTTTTGGCCATTCTTTTTCTCCCTTCCTCTGCTCACAGGCCTGCCATGCTTCAATATATGTAGACCAATGGCAAAGGCCTCAAATGTAGTGTGTGGAGAAGGGACAGTCTTTTTTCAGGAATAGAATTTAAAAATAGAGCTATATAATACATATTTTTACAAGCAAAAAGCTGTCTTAAGATTTTTTTTTTTACATTTAGAATTAATAGTTTCAGGGTAAAAAGGAAGTAACTGTAAAAAGAAAAATAAATGCAAATTTTCTCTTAAAAAACAACAAACAAACAGTAGGACAATGGGAGTTACCAATGACTGAGTTGAGTTTTATGTCCCAGAAAGAGCTGGAGAAAAGCCAGTTTTCCCCACAGGTATAAATTATAAAGCAGAATGTGGCATTTTCATTTCACGGTAGCAATGCTGGAAGTTTATTTACACTGTAAGTTCTGAGCTGGAAGTAGACAGTCTCCAGTCTTCCCGTCAGTTTTTATAGTTGTGTGCCCAGTCAGCCAAAGCAGCACCAAGAGCAGTGGGAAGGAGGAGAACCCAAGGGAAGAAAAAAAAAAAACCTGTGACTCTCAGTATTCTTATTTTATTGATTTATGGCTTGTGGGCAGCTGGCTGAGGCCAGCAACTCCAGAGGCCCTCCTTATATTTCTCTATCTCATCAGGTAATTCCATCCTTGACAGGTCTTCTACTTGGAAGTAATGTGTAGACCAAATAGGAATAGGATGCAGCAGGTATCCTGGGAGAGAACTCAGCTGTTTCCCACTAACACTGGTATCACAGTCCACTGTGTTGGAACTGACAAGGAGGGAATGAATGCGGCCTCACTACCTAGCCCAAGAACCAGCCTGGGTACCCATGTACTATTGGGAATGGGTTGCAGCGAACAGGAAAGGAAAAGAAGATGGCCTCCAGCAGGGAAAAGTAGAGAAGGAAAAATGGAAGCCCTAAGGCTGCTGTCCTTTCTCCAGGCAGCCTTGATATTGAAGGCAATGACTTAAAGCCAGATAGCCCTCTATTTCTTACATTCCTGATGTAATACTAGCCAGTTTGTGATGCCTTAGCCAAAAAAATGGAGGGCCATTAGAGGTGGTGGGAAAGTAATGAAATCTCTCCGTACTTTTACACTGCTGATCAGGAAATCCAGCAGCAGTATAACGCATCAACCCTAAACCTGTTGAATGAATCTTCAGGATCCTGCTTTCAAAGATTAGGTAGGAGAGGCCTCCTTTTTATGCCATTAGCACCTCAGCTGAAAGCTCCAGAGTAATAGGATTAGGGGAAGTAGTGAGCCTGTGATCAGGAAGACAATGCCCAGCCCTGCCACATTCCACCTGCTCTCCCACAGGGCATCTGAGGCTTTGGGGGTTGGGATGTTTTAGTGCCACCTATCATACATAGAAGAAAGGGTGCAGGTAGAGACAAGTGTAATTATAAGGTAGGGAATTCATTTGTTCAGCAGAACTTCTTTGTGGGCACTTTTCAATTAAGAGAGCTTTTAAAAAGAGCTCTTTGGCTGCATAAGCCCTTCTTCCTGTCTCACTTCTGTTCAGGTTTTGACAACAGAAACACTGGAAAAGGACAACCATCTTGAGTGATGGGGTTCTGTCTTGGAGATGAGGTCTAAAACTGGGACTGGAGAGTGTCTGTGTTTCTGCCTTTCCTCACTTTGATACCAACTGCTCCCTGTCTTTGTACTCTCTCTCCTCTTCCTGACTGTCCCCATGAGTACAAATATTCCATGCCATTGGTTTTTGTTTAATTCAGGAAGCAGTCTTTGCACCAGTGTAGGTTTGTTTCTGCAGTCCTTATCTCTCTAAAGCAAATAGCAAACTGCATCTTCACCTGCTGACTTTGGCCAGTAGGAAAATGAGATTGGCCTTCTCTCTGCCTGGTACCACTGAGAAACACACAGGGTAACCTGGGTGTGATGCTAGTGCTTCTGGAAGTAAGGAAAGAATACTTTGGGTGGGAGAATCTAGAGGGATGGTGGGCAAAAGTTCAGGGCTGAAGTTTCAAGCAGCAGAATTTCTTAACTCAAGTCTGAGGTGACTAAGAGTATTCCTGCCACCAGTGCTTCTTTCTTTCCTCTCCTGGTTCCTGCAGGTGCAAGCCCTGTAACCCCCCTTGCTGGCTTCTTTATCTTTTCTGTCAAGGCAGAGGCATTTGGTGGCCGAGGGAGGCGAGGGTCCTGAGGTGCTCTGGCCACAGGTGCCACCTGTGTCTCCACCCAGATGTGGTCCAGGGGAATCTGTCTTCTGCCTGTAGCCTCCTCACTTCAGCAGGGATATATCATCAGCAAAGTCATCGTGCTGATGGCGGAGGCAGCGGAGGCAGCGCCACTGGCACACCATGAGGCAGAGTGGCAGCATGAAGAGGGCACAGATGGCAGCCATCACATAGGCTATGGTCATGAGGGTCGACTCATCGGTCTGTGGAATGTTGTAGCCACAGTCTTCCATGTCCAGAGTGACAAAAGGGCCTTCCACTGCTGCCGTCCTGAACTCATCGTGCACTGGGGAAGAAGCAGGTGTGAGTAGGAAGTGAATAGGAAGCACTCATTGTCGTAGAGTGAGCAGGTGGGGAAGCCAGTGCTAATCAGAGGCCTGTCTCTTCTCCCCTGGCTCCCTGGGGAGCAGCCCTTCCCCATTTACCTATCCCATAAGAATGATACCTTAAGAGTCAGTAGTTCTGAGTTGACCAATAAGCTAGCCCTTTACACTCTAGCAAACTCACCTGCTACTGTGGAAATTTAGCTATAAAATTCTGCCGCCTTTCTGTAATAGCAACCAATCTTACTGTGGGGCAGCTGACATGGTCACTAAAGGCTCACTCAGCCTGCTGTCTTTGCAGCTAGGGCTTCCCAAGGTGCCTTGGCAGCTCTTGCTGCTGTGGGTTTGCCACAGATTGTCACAATCCAGGCAGGGGGCACTCGGGCAGGCAATACGATAAAAGGACAAGCATTGACACTACCTTTGTACACTTTTTGCCGTTTGCTTGAGGCAACTGTCACTACCTCTCAAACTGATGGGGGCCCAGGTGTCCTAACTGCAAACAAGTGAAAATACAGCTAGACTGACCCACACCTCATCCCTAGTGCTCTCACCATGGCAAGCACTGACAGCAAAGCCAATTCGTTTTTGGGCCCGATCAAAGACAACGTAGAAGCCCTCCATGATAACAGCTCCCATGACAGTGCCCGTGGAGGACTGTGAGATGGCAAACTTGTAACAGTCGTCTTGGGACGTGGCCACATCTTCCACCGGCCTCAGGTATTGCTAGGGATAAACAATGGCAGGGTGAGAGGGTGTCTTCCTCCATCTTTCACTCCATCTCTGCCCACTAGGTCCTTCTGCACGTAGGTAGTTCTTTCCTTTGCCATCCCTGAGTCCTGAGGGCTTTGGTTTTCCAAGACCCCTTTACTACTAGAAACTCAATCATTTTGTCTTTCAAGTTCTGAGAAGCCACACAGACTTGCTATTCTCCCATGTGCTTTGTCCTCTTCCTGGGATCTCACTGCCTCAGATTGGGGACATACCTGTGGAAGGATGGTGATGCGAAAGGACTGATTGGTGACCTCACCCATGAGGTAGAGTGAGATGACTGGGAAAATGTTCCAAGGGGTGGTGCCTGCTTGCCAGCATACCAGCTGCTCCCCCAGCCAAAACCCATCTGGGAACTTCTCTGTCTGTGTAGACAAGAAAGGGGTAACAATGAGGAATCAATCAGCCTCTCTCTTCATGTAATATTGACTGGGCTCTTAATTTGCTTTGGGTTTTTCCAGAGAAATATTTCTAGGGAAATATCCAAAGTGGGAAAGGGAAGCTGCAACCCAAGGACTAGGGGAAGAGAAGAGGAAGTCCAAGTTCGAAATTTGTACCAGGATAGCCAGGTGTGGTGGTGCACACCTGAAATCCCAGCACTCAGGAGGCTGAGGAAGGAAGATCTTGAGTTTAAGGCCAGCCTGCTACATAGCGAGCCCATCTCAAAACAAAAAAAACCAATCTTTTGTATGGGGATTGTAGGGTGAGCAAACTGAGACTAATAACAACAACAGTTTTAAGAGCTTTAAGAGGAAGCATTGTGGCTCTACTGAGGAATGTGACTCCCACTGACTTCTGACACTGTGTCATCTCTTGCACCTCCATCCATAGTCCACTGACCGAGGAGGCTGCCTTGATGGACTTGACTGCAGCTTCAAATACTTTCTTGGGCAAACGAAGGTTGGTGGTGCCACTGTCCACGATGCTTTTGTCGTAGTTGTACTAAGAAGGAGAGGAAAGGATGAGAAGTTTTTTTGATACCCATTCAGAGTTGAGGGGAGAGTTTGATTGCTTGGGGTACTATTGGCCTCTCACCTTTGCCACTTCATATGTGTACCACCTTGGGCCAGTTACTCAATCTGTGTGCCTGGGTTTCCTCATCTCTATAGTCAAGACAGTAGTACCTGCCTCAAAGGTTATTGTATCTATTCTAATTTAATATACTCCTAGGGAAGGAGTTAGCTGGCATTTGTTGGGTACTGCCAACCACAGGGATTAACAGTTTGAACATTATCTCTAACTTGCACAATCCTTGGGAAAGTTATTTTTATCTCTGTTTTGCAGATGAGGAAAATGGCCCACAGAACAGTAGCCAGCCCAGGGAGCCACAGCTAGTAAATGGCATAGCTAGATCCAGATCCAGATCTTTGTGACTCCAAAGCTGGACTCAACTCCATCATACCATGCTCCCTCACAAATGACTTCCCAAGGCCACAAAGCAAAGCAGTGATTAGCATTCAGACAGGAACTAGTTCCATGCTCATCACTGGACCATAATTTCCATAGTCCCTTCGAATGTGCTCTGCTGTGTGACCATTAAGCTTCTGACTACTGGGTCCAGCCCAATTGCTCTCCACAGGTCCTATACCTCTCCTTGTCTTCCCAAGCTCACGATGCGTGTGAGGTCTTCCCGCACACTGTGGTGCCTCCCTCTTACTTCCCTTGACTCTCCCTTAGTTTATTACCTCCTTGCAGTCCATTTTCAGATCTTGTCCATTGATTTCCACCCGCACAATGATCACCTCATAATACCACTCCCGCCGGATGGGTGTGTACCAGAGACTGCCTGTGTACAGTGAATGGTCGATACCCCCAATGATCTAAGAGAAAAAGAGGCCAGTACCAGTGTCCCGGCACAGAAGGTGAGCAGGTCACTGGAGTCAAGCAATAAGAGCAGTCATTTCTTGGGGTGGGAAGGCCCTCTACATGTCACCTTTTTCATAGCCCTGCTTTTAATCAAATCATGCCTCAAAATGATTTATATAGTTTCTTAAATGTGTTCAGGAGAAGAGACTTTCCAGGATTTTTAATTATTTGTTTCAGAATCTCATAGCCCTTGATATAAAGTTATTTAAACCTAAACTGGCACAATAAATGTTGAGTGAGTGATATGTGCTTCTGTTACAAGTTTTATTTTCTCTGCTTGTTGGAGAACCATTCATCATTGTCCTAATTAATTAATAAATAGATATAAACTCCTTAGATCTCTGCCTTCTGAACATCAGACTGAATAATCTTAATTCAGTAGGTCTTATTTTCATTTCCTTTGAAATGTTTCTGATCCTTTCCAAGTTTGGGTGCCCTGAATGCTTTCATGAATATCACAAGGAAGAAAAAAATGGGCGCAGGGAGGAGGGATGGGAATATTAAGAGGTTTCTCTTGATTCTAACTAGTGACCCTGAGGGGGGTGGCACATGGTACCCATATTTCCCAGTACTAGGACTTCCCTTCTCTGAAGACTACTTACCATGCTCCCTCCAACAGAGGCTAGCACCTCAGACTGGTTGAGAGGGAAGCCAGTGCCACAGAGCTGCAGGGAGAAGAGGTTGGGAACATGGGTCTGCTTCACCAGGGAGTCAAAGAAGGGCTCCAGAGAATCATCAGGCTGTGGCAGAAAAAGCAAGGAGTAAATCCTTATGTGGAGGAACTAGTACACAGAGACCAGCTTCCTGCCTACACTGAAGGGCAAAAGCGAAACTTAGGGATATTCCTTGGAAAAGACTACCTTGAAGTACTGAGCTCTGGCAGAGAGAGGGCTAGCAAGAGATACTAACAGCACAGTGTAGAGGAAAGTACTATGGGCTCACAGGGCCATGGGATCTTTCATTCTCATAGCCTGACCTGCCTCTCTTATTTTTAAAGATCTTAGAGTAGATAGAAACCAGTCTAGTCCTATGCCTATTCACAGTTGCTCTCAATATAGTTCTGCTTTCTGTAGGACTGAAATTCAAACTGCCACCCTCCCGCTGTTCAGTAACTCTTCAAACTGATGTGTTTCCCTCTTTTAGCCCATTCCTCCCCCTTCTTTCTCTTAACTCCTTCCCTGTGTAGCATGCAGCGTGCAACCTGCAGACACAGTGGGTAGGGCCAGGCCTTGTTCCTCTCACCCTGGCGATCTCAGCATAGGCCAGCCCCAGGATGCCTTCCCAGTTGGAGCCATTAATGAAGAACTTGTCCGATTCAGTGATGGCAGCAATGTTGGCACGCACAGTGACGTTGGGGCCATGAGGGATGCTCACCAGGTCGGTGCCCAGCTCCCCCTCCCACTTGCCCTGGGTGTAGGGCACATATACACCCTTCCGGAGGTCCCGGTATGTGCTGGACCTGTGGAAAGGAGCAGAGATCCATAGACACATAACCACAAGTAATATGGAGATCCGGCGGAAAACCAGCACCCAAATGCCACCTTATCTCAGGGCATCCTAGAGTCATCTTCGGTTGCTCTGCTGAACAACTGTAGACCCATCACCCATCATAGGATGTAAGGTGACCTTGCAGGAAGATGAGGAGAGCTGTTGCTACAGCCTGCTCTCCTGTCTCCATAGCTCATGTTCCTGGATCTGAAGCTCAGGCCTATGAAGAACAAGCTGGGCTTTGTGCATTGTGCTTGCTGCTGCTGCAGGGACAGCTAGCAGACATCTCTTCCTCCCCCCAGCTCCAGCAGGCTCCTAGAGAAAAGGAGCCATTGACTCTCTTCCTGCCTTGGGGCTCAGTGGTACCATCTGAGTGGTGGAAAAAGTGCCAGGCAGGGTGAGTGTAGAAGCTCTGCAGCAAGTTCTAGAGAAGGGCTTTGCACAAGCTTCCCACGGAGCAGGCAGGTATTACATACCACTTGGTGAAGCATGCTCATCAAGGTGGGCACCTTTGTTTAACCATGATACTCACCAGGGCATGGAGGGGGCAATTGATGGGACTGGGACAAAGACCTGGAACGCATGCCCTTTCACTGATCCTACCCACACTCCCCTCCCCAACTTAAATAGGGCCCCTCCCCCTTAAAGGGAAAGATCACAGAAAGCAGGACACAGGGAACTCCAAGATTAGGATGGAGCCTTTGCTCATGTCCACATACACGTGCTTCAGACAATTAGATGGCCTGTCACCACTTCCTCATTCTGATCTTATGCTAAGGGGCCTCCCAGATCATCCCCCACTGCCTCTCTCACATAAGATCCCCTTCCACCCTTCCCTTTCACAAGTAAGCTGCACCCATCTGGTGGCACTCTGGGTGGCGCATGGAGGAGACATTGTTACTTTCAGTCCCTGATAAGGGTCCAGGCAGAGTGGGGTTATGGAAAATTCTTTCCATCACATTCTTGAACCATGCAAAGCCATCTGGAGTGGCCCCTGGGTAAGAATACAGCAAAGGGAGCGCCTTGCTGCAGACTGTTCAGCCTAAACTTTGCTGCTGTCAGGAAACTGAGCCCCTGAAAGGATGTGGGTGAAGTCTCCGAGATCTCGCTGCACAGGCACAGAAGTAGCCCAATGAGATACCTGCTCTCTCTCCCTCCCCTCTGGAGGCTGCCCATCTCGGTAGGAAAGCATGTCCTCACCCTTTCCCATGGTATGCCTCCTCTAGCCACCCCTTCACCCTTTCCTAGCCACTGTTGCCTTTTTCATTCTTCCCCTTTCCCAGCAGGAAGAAAGGATCTGAGTATCTGGTCTTTCTCCTGCACCCTCCCTGACTCTCTTTGGGAAAGTTTCCTCCCCCAGCTCTCCCCAGGACTCACAGCTGTCTCTGGTAGTAGCGATGCAGGAAAGGGTGGGGGGCCGCCCCCACTGCAAAGTTACTGCTGCCTGTGTCCACCAGGATGTTGAGCTGTCAGGGGAGAGAAAAGATGTTGTAGACAGGCAGCTCTGGGCTCACCAGCCTGTGGTCCCTCACTCCACAGCCACAGTCTCCCATTGGAATGTCCAGGGTGGAGCTTCCATGATGCAGGGCTGTCCAGGCTGGCACTGGCTAGACCGCAACCCCAGATAGAACCTGGGGTCCTATAGTGCCTTCGACATGGCTTTAGGAACTCTGCCTGCTTCTGTCTGACATTTTGGGTATGTGTGTGTGTGCTCATGCCTCTCTACCATCAGGTTACCTGGGCTGTCTGCATAGTTAACTGATTCTGTCTTTAGAACCTGCCCTCCTCCTTTCCCAGTTTTCTCAGAAAGAAGTTTGGTGGATCCCCTCCAGCTCAAAGAAGAGCCATTCTAGGAGCTGGCACTGGCAAAGGGGCCTATGGGGGACAAGGATAGCACGTTGGTGCCCGTGTATATGTGGCTTCCCTTTTGTCTCAGAGTTACATAGGCCTATTATGTGCCACTGTCAGCAATAATTGGGAGTCAGGAGCCCCATATGATGCCCTGGTGAAAACCCATCTTGTCATGACCCTGGTTTTGGCTAAGTGAAAACAGACAGGTGTTTTCCTGCATCCTGTGCAGCTCCATCTCCTACCATCTCTTTTACCTTGTCCCCTTTCCTACTCTTGAAACCAAAGGTCCATAATGACATTAATAAAACTTGTTTTTCTTATAAGAGGCCCCAGCCATTCTCTCACAGTAAAGTTTAAAAACCAAACAGCTCATTCCTTTGAAACACAGGGAAGACCTGAATAAACTCTAGCTTCATTTGCTTATTTTCATCACTAATTTTGGAAGTCTCTTAACAATAAAGTAATAGACCCCAGCCTACTTTATTATAGGTAACACCTCTGGTGTGTGGTCATCCACCTTGGTAAGGACTGTTTGCTCTTTTGAGGGACTTGGAGAGAATCTTGTCTGGCTTCACTTGCTCTGCACACCTGTCCGGTGGGTGAACAAACCCTGCCCACAGGTTGTGCTAACTGCCATTTTTTGAATATGCACCCTATGAAGAGCCATGAAGTTTCAGTGTGCTTGTGATTACTTCACCTTTCCTTACCTCCTCACTTTTACCCACACCTCAGACCACCCTTGTATTAGTCAGCTTTCCGTCACTGTGTCAAAATACCTAAGGGAATCAACTTAAAAGGAGGAAAAGTTTATTTTGGCTCACAGTCGCAGTTCAAGGTTGCTTGGCCATGTTGCTTTGGCCAGTGGCAGGACAGTATATCATGTTAGGAGCAATGTGGCAGAGGAGACTGCTCACCTCGCAAGGACTAGGAAGCAAAGAAAGGAAGGAGCTGGGGCGGTCCCAACATCCCCTTTGAAAACACACCCACAGTTACCTAACTTCCTCCCACTAGTCCCAACCTCCTAAGGATCCCACCACCTCCCAGTAGTGCCAAGGTCAGGACCAAGCCTCCCAACACATGAGCCTTCAGGGAACAAATCAGATCCAAACTGATTTGAAACCATGTTTCTTTACCCCGTAAATACCCCTGAGCTCTATCCTCGGAGAGGCATATGAGTTTAGGGACTCCCCACCCTCATGCTTAGCCACCTTGTGAATAAACTCTCATTTGCAAACCTTGCCACGGTATGATTGGCACACTGTGTAGAGGACACAGGGGCCTGGTTTGGTGACATTATGATGGCTTGACCCCTGCCTCCCTAGGACCAGATGATTTTTGTGTCTACTATACGAGCAAAAAGAAGGCAGGCCCCTATCCTGGAAAACAGGGCATCTGAGCATCCACTCTCCTTTCTAGCAGACTTTGCATGGCCTGACCTTCATTTCTGTATTCTCTCTTCACTGCGGTGAAGTCAGCAGAACTTGCTATTGGTGCCATGCTCCGACCTTGTCACCTTGAGCAGGGCACTGTGCTGCTCTCAGCTCCAGTTTTGTCCTGTTTGCCAGATCCTCCCTGGGGCTCCTCCCTGCTCTCCATTGTGCCTGTGTGGCTGTGCTGGCTGCTCCCCCAGTGCCTGCTAAGGCTTCCTGGCTGCCCTCCTGTCCCCAAAGACCCCTCCACACTATCTGCTCCACCTCCCCAATCCTGCATTCCTGGCCCAGTTCCCACTTCCCTCCCATCTCCTTACCTCTCCCTGGTCTCTGGGCAGCCACCAGGTCCAGCTGCTGTGCTTTCAGAGAAAATCAATAGAGTTGGGAGGCTCACAGGTCAGCTTTCAATCAACCAGGTTAATGATTTAAAAAGGCCCCTCATTCCCCTCCTCAGGACCCCTTTCCCCACCTTCAAGGACTCGGCTCCCAGTACCTGGGGTGGGGCTCCTATTACTGGGCTCTCTGTTCCCACTGAACCCCAAAGAAAGAGGGTCTTCTCCTTACACTGTCCCTGTTGCTTGTGCAAGGGAGGGGCTACCTGGGATGTGTGTCCCTGGCCAGCCCTAGCAAATATAGTCGCTTCTTTATACTGGAATGAAGTTTTTATCTCCTCACTCCACTCCTCTCCTCTCTCCACTCCTCTCCTCTCTCAGCAGGCTGGTCCCTCCCCCATCAGGAGGCCCTGGGTACTCGAGTTGGTCTTCTAATCCCAGGCTTTCTCTCCCCTCTGAGATATACCTCTTCCACCTCAAGGGGACCAAGTCCAGCAAAGAACAACCACCTGTCCCCCTCACTTACCCCCATACCAGAGTTGTAGGCCTCACTGCTCTCTGCCTCACCCTCTCCACATTCCCAAACAAAACGGGAAACCAAAATAAACAGTTGAGATTCCCACAGAGAAAATGCCTGGCTGTTCCCCCTTTGTACATGGTCCTGCTGCTGAGAGAAATGGTTTCTGGTCCTGTACCTCAACATTACAGAGCCCCCAGGGCAGCCCTGATAATCTCTCTCCCTTTCACAGGGCAAGAGCCTGTGCCACCCACTGTGCTTATTATGAAATAGGGCATTTAGGGAAGCCCTGAGGGGAAAATAAGCAATGAAACCTTACCTCCTATTTCCCAGGTGAGGGCGATTTGGTGGGACCACCCTCATCTTCCACAATCTATCATGACACCCTGTCCCTGCTGCCCCCCACACACCCCTGCCCCAACCACTCCTCCCCACCTTTTGGCTCAGACCCCAGCTCCCTCCTCCTTGTTAGGCACCTGCCCTACCAACCTACCAAGGATCCCTTTTCCTTCAGGTAGAGTCGACTGTCCTGTCTTCCTTGCTCTCAATTTCCCAACACCATCAAATCTAGTTTCTCCCCACTGGCATTTACAAATGCTTGAGTCTCTTCATTAAAAAAAAAAAAGAAGAAGAAAGAAAAACTTCCTTAATCTCACGCCCACCTCCAGCTACCCTCTTTCTCCTCTCCCTTCACAACCAAATCCTCAGCCAAGCTGTCTTCATTTCTTCACCTCCCACTCATTCCTCAACCCATTCTAAAACTGGGTTTTCCTGATCCTTCTACTATCAAACAGCCCTACTACAATTACCAATGATTTTGTGTCACCAAATACAAAAGAAGCTTTTCAAGTCAGTCCTCACCACCTTTCTCAGCCTTCGCAGGCCTGACTTGTCTTTGGCCTGTTCCTCTCATACCAGGCTGTGCCCCTAAGCACCTCCATGGAGCCGCGAGACCTTCTAAAGCTCACCTTTTCCGCCTTTCCCTTTGAGTTACTGATGCATGTACTGAGCAGCCCCAAAGATGCTTCAAAGCCAGATGGTCCGATGCTGACCTTATAGTGTCCTGCCCATCACTGATCCCTGTATCAGTGAGTGCTGTCACCATCCATCTGTTCTGTAAGGCAGCAACTTCAGAACCATCCTCACACCCTCCTCTTTTTCACATCTCTCCAGTGCATCCACCATTCCTATCCACTCCATCTACTTCAAAGCTCCTGCATGTACCCTGCACTGGTGGCTCACACCTATAATCCTAGCTACTTGGGAAGCAGAAATCAGAATTGAGGTTTGAGTTCAGCCTGGGCAAATAATTCATGAGACCCTATATTGAATGTACCCAATGCAGAAAAGGGCTGGCAGAGTGGCTCAAGTGGTAGAGTGTCTGAGTTTAAACCCCAGTACCACTAAAAAACAAAACAAAACAAACAAACAAGCAAACAAACAAAAAGCTCCTGCATGTCTGCATGTCTTCCAATCTCTGCTACCCAGGCCCAGCTAGCATCCTCTTCCCTGGACTTTCATAAGGCTTTTCCACTGGCCTTGGCACATCTGCCCTGACCTCTCCAGTCTATTCTCTGTACTGTGAACTAAGTGATGTTTTCAAAAGTACAAATGAGTCCAGGCTACCCTTCTAAGTCAACAGTTTCCTCTGGCTATTAAAATGAAAACCTGAAGCCTGAACATTTCCTACAGAGCACTTCCTAGTCTGACCCTGCCGGCATCCCCAACCTCCCTTCCTCCCAGTCTCCCCCAAATCCTCTCCACCAGTCACATGCACAGGTGTCATCACTTTTCCTTCCACCAGCCCGGGATCCTCCTCACAGAGGCCGTGGCGCTGGCTGCTCACACAGCCTGGACCATCCTCCTCTCACTCACAGCCTTGTCTACCCATCCCTCCTCATTCTTAGCCTGAGCTCAAAAGGGGACTCCCTGGGCGGGGGCGGGGGAGAGAAAACAGGTCACATTTCCTTATTCAAATATTTCCACGCAACTCACCACTCTGCAAGTCACAACCCCCTTATCTAATTTTTTAAAATTCCCAGTATGGCTGTGGGTATCACATTTTCTTTTCATTTTGGTGGTGCTGGGGTTTGAACTCGGGGCCTCACACTTGCTAGGCAAGTGTTCTACCACTTGAGATACACCCCCAACCTTTTTTTGTTATAGTTGTTTCTCAGGTGGGGTCTTGATTTTTGAATCTTTCTACCTACAGTCCTGAGTAGTTGGGATGACAGGCATACTCCACCATACCTGGCTTATTAGTTGAGATAGGATCTCGATATTTATCCAGGCTGGCCTTGAACTGAGATTCTCCCAATTCTGCCTCCTGAGTTGCT